ACTATCTACCAAATACAGCCAAAACAGAACAATTACAAAGAAAAACATAAAAAAAAAAGAAAGTGTAAAAAAAAAAAAAATAAACAAAAACAACTTGATACTTACTTTGTATTATCCCATGAGCACTATGACTTTTGACAAAGTTGTTCAAATTCCATGAAATGCTTTGTCTAGAAGAAATCTTAGTCGCTATAACTCCAAGACTGTAAATATCTAATGCTTAAGCATATGGTTGACTCACTAAAACCTCTGATGCTATGAAACTGATGAAACTGGCGAAAGATAACGAAACGGCAAAAGGTGGTAAAACTGACAAAACTGCAAAGGGTGACAAAACTAATAAAAGATGAAGATATAGATAAATGTTGAAGATAAGGTGAATAAAAAAATAAAAAAAAACAAGATACTTCTTTGTATTATTCCATGAGCACTATGACTTTTGACAAGGTTGTTTCAAATTCCATGAAATGCTCTTTGTCTAGAAGAAATCTCAGTCAATATAACTCCAAGACTGTAAATATGTAATGCTTGAGCATACGGTTGACTTACTAAAATCTCTGGTGCTATGAAACTAATGAAACTGGCAAAAGATGATAAAATGGCGAAAGGTGATGAAACTGACGAAACTGCAAAAGGTAACAAAACTAATAAAAGATGAAGATATAGATAAACGTTGAAGATAATGTAAATAAAAAAAAATAACTGAAAACAACTAGATACTTACTTTGTATTATTCCATGAGTATTATGACTTTTGACAAGGTTGTTTTAAATTCCATCAAATACTTTTTGTCCAGAAGAAATCTTAGTTGCTATAACTCCAAGACTATAAATATCTAATGCTTGAGCATATAGCTGACCCACTAAAACCTCTGGTGCTATATACAGCAGAATTCCACAAATTTTTCTTTCCTTTACTTTTTTAGAGAGCCCAAGCAGGTTTCATCTTTTGCAATGCATTAAATTATGAAAAGAATTAAAAAAAATATGCCCAATAGTTAAACTAACAAATACAAAAAAAAAAGACCAAAGACCTTAGAGACAACAAATTAAACCAATATGGTGAAAGGCACTTGAAAAATTTACTTAACAAAAGTGAAATTACTTAATCAGACAAGTGGTGCAAAAAAAAAAGTAACAAAAGACATAATGACAGCTCCAAAAAGATCAAAGAAGATATGACAAAGCCTATAACGATCTAAACCAAAGTTAATAGAGGACGAAAAAAATAAAAAAAGTAAAAACAAACTAAATCTGAAATTAAAAAAAAGCGAAAGCAAAAGATAAAAACAAAATAGATAGGGCGCCACGTGTGATCGTGTAATAGTACGACGATGTAGGGTAAGGTCGTATGACCTGATATCGGCGATCGAATCAGAACATGAATCTTAGTTATGTGATTTTGTCATTTTTTGATTGGTTAGAGAGGCCAGAAATATATAAGTTATATATCTCTGGCCAGAGATATATAGAAAAATCCATTATATATTATCTAATTTTTTAAAGCAAATTAAAAATTCATATAACTACAAGTCGAAGAAAATCGAAGGGAAAATAAAATATATAAAAAAAGTCGAAGATTAATACAAAAAGCCAAAAGAAACTACTTGTTAATTGACAACTAAAAAAATAAATAAAAAATAAAAAAATTATATTGCTCCTTGAATACTGGGATCAGTTTCATCAGATCCAACCTCGTTCTTTCCTTTGATTATCCCAATATAAGCGTCGAGAAGGCCTACTTTAGCCGTAAGTAATCCATCGCACTGGCAACCTTTCCCGTAACTAGTCAATGCTATGGTGCCAAATTTTTTCGAAAGTATCTCTCTCATTTTCTTTATACGTCCGTCTTCATTGAAATATTTGTCTGCTGATGCGGAAATAATATCCATGACCCATTCCAAAATATCAGGAGGTACTTTCAGTTTCATATTATTAAAATCTTCAAGGAATTGTGTAAAGTTTCTATTGTAAATAGTAATAGGAGGACCAGTAAGTTCAAGCGGTCGACCATTAAGGATTGGGTTATTTATTTGAGTTGTGAAAAAGGTAGAAGGCTTGGCACCAGACGAAGGAGGTTTCGCTTTGAGGCCAATATTAACAGTTTCCCTGTATTCTGTGATGAGGGAAAAAAAAGAAATAAGCCATGGATTTTAATTTTGATACCTTGAAAATGAAAAGGTAACCTTTTTCACGCTTTATCCGTTTAATTTCCGACTCTAAAGGTAAATCCGATTGAAAATGTGCTTCGTCTGGAGGTATTGGAAGTAAATGAGTTGTCAATGATTGAGTGCTCGCTCACGGGTGATCAAAGGTAAAAAAGGACACCTACCATAACCAAGTTCATGACCAAGTTTAAGTGCCTCCAAATGTGCTCTCAATTCTTCTATTGATTCCATAATGCAAGACACAAGTTTAAAAATGACATGATAGCGAATAAAAGCAGTATAGGTTGGAATAATGATATATTATTGATGACACAATGCAAAACAGTAATAGCTATCAAAGCCTGTGTTCACTTGCGTTAACATTTCTATTACACTTACCAGTGGCTTCTACGATAGCGTGAATGTGTTTTTTGGGCGGTGTTTGGCGATAAGAAGTAGGAAAGAAAAGCACAAGAATCAGTAAGTATTCGGTATTATTGGCGAATATGACACGGTGTAGACGAGAGAAGACGAAAAAAATTACGCTATATCGTGTTGACTAAGCTTGTTGTGACTCACTTACCAGTATCAGCTCTAACTACAGCTCGAATGTTATCTCCTTGTACACCATAAAAAGTTTCTCCAATTGTTTTTGCTGTATCCTTTAATTCGTCATTTAGTACCTCGAAAATAGTTTGATCCGTGTTAACTCTCCACAGTCTAAGCAGGTGAGAAGCAAAACCATATTCACATTTTTCTTTAATAGCTTCCTTGAGGTCGTCAATATCATTACCAACTCCGATAACGACTTTGAATTTAGAATTATTTCGTACATCAAAACACCAAAGTATTATTTGTGTACCAAGAATTGCGACAGGCATCGTTGTATTACCAATAGACCACAAAATAGTAGACAAATAGTGGATACAAAATCGATATCGCACAAATTGATCTAACTCATCAATTAGTGATATCAGTCAGGGAATATGTCACATAGAGTGATATTTTAATAAATATTATAATAAAAACATATAAACTGTTAGTTGGTTATGCTAATTTCCCCAGGTTTCTAATATTGGCCAATCAGAATGCAAGATTAGGTATAACATAATGATCAAAACAACAATCGCTTTTTTTTAAAAAGTTACACTTATTGCAAAATTTTATTTAAGAAATCACCTTTTATGTACTAACAAAAAAAATTCCTTGCAAAATTTTAGTATAATGTTAATTTGTTTGTTGTTTGAAGAATTTAAAATTTTGGGTTTGATTCCAAATTTAGTAAAAATCTATTTTGTAATACCTGATAAGAAAAATATTATTATAAAAGTGTGGTGACTTAGTGTAGTGATTTAGTTATTACTCTCTCCAAGTGGCAAGTCTAAAGTTCAAATTTCACTAATGATAAATTTTAAAAAATAGGCTTGTGTTATAATTAGAGTTGTTGGTAAAACTAATTTACAATAGTGTACCAGTTTCACCAATTATCAATTACTATTAGTGATACTAGTGAAACTGGTGAAATTAGAATATTGAGAATATATATCACTTCATCAACACTCATTTTGTAGATACAAGATTTTATCGATAATTACTTTATTAGATTAATAATTACTTTACTAGCAAGTTTATTTTACAAATATCTCAATCACTAACAATTAATTTATCAATATGTTATTGTGATTGGATTTCTTATTATTTAAACTACCTAATTTAAGCTTGTTGATAAAGTAATTGTAGATAAAGTTTTGTGTTTATAAAAATAAATAATAGTGAAATGATACATATTCTTAGTATTTTAGTTTCACCAATGTCATCAGGTATTACCAGTATCACTAGCATTATCATATTACCAGTTTCACCAATATTACCAGATATTACTAGTTTCACCATATCACTAGTTTTATCAATATCACCAAATCACCAATTTGACCTTTGAGTTTCACCAAGTTTCACTAGTTTCAACTAATTAGTTTTATCAACAATTCTAGTTATGATTGATAGTTATTAATTATCGGTTAGATCTAGAATCAAACCTGCAATTTTAATCACACTATCTAGTAATAGAAGCTTTGGTACAATAAATTCAAGAAACTGAAATTAAAGGTTGGAACCAGTTTTAAATATTCGAGTTTATCATATTAAAATTCAAGTTTATCACACCGAAATTTGAGTTTATCACATGAATTATTAATAATTGATATAATAAACTCGAATTTTGGTGTAATAAACTCGAATTTTGATGTGATAAACTTGAATATTTAGATATACTTAGGGTTAGTCACTCTAAGTATATCTAGGGTACTAACTCTAGATTAAAACTGGTTCCAACCTCTAACCGAAATAACTGAAAACCTGTTTAAAAAGTCCCAAATTGAGGAGTAGTGGTGATTTTTGATAGTACTACAGAAGGGCTAAATTCGAACTAGGACTTGAGATCAAAAAACCGAGCTACTAGGTCTTAATAGTGAAGAACACACTAGCTGAACTGCTAGATTCTGTTGCACCAAAAGAAAAAGACATATGCTCTAAAAGTATATACCAATAGGAAGATGTTCTTTAGACACTTAAAGCCTAGACAAACTAACCTTTCTAAATTGCTAGCTAGAAGTAAGAGAGAGACCAATAAAAAATCTGTATAAAAAAATGGTTCAAATATGGGTACTGGAATTATTGTAAATCTTGACAAGGGCAAGAGTAAGTAATAGGTGACTAATTAGAAGGGTTGTGGCTTGAGATACAGACCGGGTTACAGCAATATTCAAAAGAGTGGTTTGAGATACAAACCCAGTAATAGTAATATAACAAGTACTAGTTAGTGCAAGAGTTTAATGATTAGCCCTAATCCAAATACATAGGTTAAGCTATAGCATAAAGTTACTAAAGTCTGGGTAAGATACATGGGTAAAACATGTATTTTAATGAAAGAGTAAGTATGGTTTTCTGAAAGGAAATCCTCTAGTAAGTTAAGAGAAAAACCTGTAGCAAGATGATTATACTTGGATATTATATAGCAGCTAAGTTAAGCTTTGTTACAATTAGTGTAATGTTGTTAGCCAAAATTGTTTTATGCTTGTCGAAATATTTTGACATTTGATATTTAGTCTGCCGAAATGTCTAAATATTGCCAAAATTCTAAATTATGCCAAAATGTCTAAATAATATTAAAATGTCTAAATAATGTTAAAATGTCTAAATAATGTTGAATTATCTAAATTAAAAAATATATATGAAAAACATATGGGAATTAGGGCTATTAATCAGTCCGACTAAAATCGCCGAGGTTGACATGGTAAGCTAATAAGTATTTTTCTCTTATCATATTGCATTTACATAGTAAAATTAAATAAAATAAATTCAAATTTCTTGATACCTAAAATGCCTTATCTATTTTAATTAGTAAAAATAAAACAAAGTTAAGAAGTTGTACAAGAATGCATGAATTTGACAAATTAGAATCTTCGCAAACTAATTTAGATAAAATGAATACTTAATTGAGTAAAATAAACGTAATAATTTTACTTAGAGGCACTTGAAAAATATATACTGTGTTGGGTTTGAATGATGATCCAGGTAATGGTCTGGAAAATGTTTTCCTTTTACTAAGACTTTATTTTTCAATTATAGCGATAATATAAAGCAATATTTAATACAATTTACAACATATAACTAATGCATAGAATAATACAAACTTCGACTTTATAATTGATAAAAAGGAGAGAGTTGTGGCGGAAGGATTCAAAATTGTCAGTATAGTAGGTGGTGATCAATGATTTATTAATATTGCCACTGCTTCAATTATCACCAAAGTAATCTGTAACACCATTATGCAAAAACTTTACAAAAAATATCCTCTTTACGACTAATTTAACAACAAAGACTACCCTAACAATTCTCATTTGATCGCTATTTTTTAATACAGAATTTGTAATTTACACCACCAAACTTACAAACTAATAAAAAGTCTGCTAAAACCAGATTGTGACAAAAAAAAACTTGCTGAAAAGTACAAGATTTTATAAAAAAAGCCCTAGTTGGTGGTTAATGGCTACTCCAAAAGGAAGTTAAAATTAATAAAGAGATTGAGCGAAAAAAGATGCTGATGATTACAGTAAAGATGAAGCCACAAAAAAGAAGAAAGCATTAGTTAAACAGTCGTCCACGAGTGCCAAGGGTTAAATTAAAAGTAAATTAACCAAAGGGATTTTGGGTCAATATCCTGAACATCGAAATCCCGATAGTACTAAATCCCGATGTACCAAATCCAGAAAGAACAAAATCCCGAAGGGATAATATCCCAAAAACTAAATCCTGAAAAAAAAAAAATCCCAAAAATTTATATTCCCGAAAATTTATAATCCTAAAATCATAATCCTGAAATCATAATCCCGAAAGATCATAATCCCGAAAGATCATAATCCCGAAAGATTATAATCCCGAAAGACAAAATCCCAATGCACCTAGTATTGTTAGACGTCACTTTCAAATTTCCGTCAATTTTTAATTGACGTATGTAGCTTCGAAATTGTAAATTAAAGTACTTCATCGATATCGGTATGATTTATATTATTAAAAAAAAAAATCAAATTATTTTTATTAATAATTGTATTTACTTCCATTACGATTGTTAAAATCTA